ATGAATGCTGATGCACATTAATAAGGTCTGCCACTTTAACAAGATGGGCTCCAGCTTGTCTAAAAAGAAGTCTTGTAAGCCTGGAAGCCACCTATCCTTCCAAATATTAATTGACAAACCATTCCCAACTGACCACATAAGCCCTTTACGAATTAAATCTTGTGTTGACCAAATACTTCTCCATCCCCAAGATGGGTTAAAACCCAACCTAGCCTTCAAGAAAGAAGATAAAGAGAAGTATTTCGCCTTGAGAAGTTTATAAGCGAGCCCTTGTCGGGTTACTTGAAAATTTCAGGCATGTTTAGCCAAAAGGGCATAATTAAAAGCTTCAAAATTATGAATCCCAAACCCCCTTACTCTTTGCTGGTACAAAGATCATCCGTTTAATCAAATGCACTGAACGAGCCTGTTCTTTTTTACACCACCAGAATTTTCGCACACATTTAACTAAGTCAAGGCATAGGATACGAGGAAGATGGAAAAAGGACATAACATACGAGGGAAGAGCACTGAGGACCGCTTTAATGGGAATCTCTTTCCCACATGCTGAAAGACAGTTCTTCTTCCAAGATGCAAGGCGATCATACATATGTTGAAGAATATATTGAAAAATATCGCACTTAGAACGCCCAATAAGAGCTGCCACTCCCAAATATCTAGCATTAAGCCCCTCCTTAGAAAGACCCAACATGGAGCTAAGAGATGATCTAGAGCTGCGCTTTGTATTTTTTGAGAAGAAAATGGAAGATTTAGCAAAGTTTATCTTTTGTCCCGAAACGTTTTCGTAACTGTTGAGAATTCGTTTCAACGACCCAACTTCCCCAACTGATGCTTGGCAAAAAATAATGGAGTCATCAGCGAAAAAAAGATGCGAGATTGCTGGAGCATTCAGACAAATTGAAACACCAGTAAGAACCCAGGATTGTTGAGCCCTAAGGAGTGCCAATGACAAAGCTTCTGCACATAGAATAAAAAGAAAAGGTGTAAGCGGATCCCCTTGGCGAAGCCCGCGAATGGGTTTGAAAAAACCAACAGGATTGCCATTCACAAGAATCGAATACTAGACAGTAGAGATACACCGATAGATCAAATGAACCCAATGAGAATGGAACCCTAATTTTTCAAGCATGCGAAGCAAAAATGGCCATTCAATTCTATCAAATGCTTTACTCATGTCCAGCCTTAAAACCAAAAAAGATTTTTTACCCTTCCGCTTATTCTTCAGGTAGTGCAGGACCTCATGAATGATTAAGATATTTTCAGTGATGTGTCTCCCTGCAACAAAGGCACTTTGGGATTCGCTTATAAGTGCATCAATAATACCCTTCAACCTGTTAGCCATAATTTTTGAAATGATTTTGTAAGCAACATTACAAAGAGAAATAGGGCAAAAGTTAGTAACTGAAATAGGGGAAACAACTTTAGGAATTAACGCAATATTAGTGTGATTAATACAAGATAACGAATGAAAAAAACTACAGACAGCACTAACCACCTCATGTTTCAACGTATTCCAAAATTTTTGATAGAACAAAGGAGTTATATCGTCAGGCCCAGGTGCTTTAAGAGGAGCCATATTGAAAACCGCTTGCTTAATCTCCATTTCAGTCGGTGGAACTAACAAAGTATTGTTCATCTCTGTAGAAATTTTACAAGGCACATACTGCAAAAAAGAATCAACCTCCACTGCATCTTGAGTCTGAAAAAGTTGCTGAAAGTAGTGCAAGAATGTTGAGTGGATGATAGCCTCTTCCTCGGTCCAGATACCTCGATCATCCTGAAAACTAGTTATAGCATTCCTTGCTCTTCTACGTTTAGTTGTAGCATGAAAAATTTTTGAATTACGATCACCAAATTTTAGCCATTGATTTCTAGACTTTTGTTTCCAATACAATTCTTCCTCAAGCCAACTAGAATTCAAAGCTTTTTCCACCCGCTGCACTTGCAAGTGATCGTAGTCAGAATCGCTTTCTTTCAACAACTTTAAATGTTTTTCAGCTGCCTCTATTTTTTATTTTGAATTAGACTGTCTACCACATGCCCTAGATCAACTTTTGCTTACAAGATTTCAATTTTGAGGCCAAGCAAAATTGTCGAAAACGAACTGGTAAGCGCCAAGAGTGCTTTAAGCCCGAGGAAAAGTAAAACACCAAGCTTCAGTGGCTAAAGCTCGGTCCAGCCATTGGAGGTTAAAGTCATATACTTCAATCCGAGAAATGGCTTTGGATTTTACAATGCAGTTTAAGATTAAATCTCAGAGAACAAAGCTTTATAGGATGTTGTTCACTGCCATATTGTATTCTCTTTGGAAAGAAAAGAATGACAGAATGTACAATGCAACTTTTGTTTCTCCAGTTGAAGTGGCTAAGAGTATTTTGTGGGAAGTAATGGGCATCTTGGGTATGCTCCAAGATGTTATTTCAGCTCTTCATTAGTTTTTCATCTAAAGGTTTGCCTGAAGATAATTTTTTTTATGTCTTGATATGCGTTGTTTAGGCTGTGTCCCATATGGGTATGTCCCATGTGTCTCGGTCCAGCCATTCCTGAATATTTGACTCACCAGATCTGTGATTATTCCACGTGAATGGATATCCGAAAAACCAAGATCACGAAAATTGCAGCGCTCAATTAGAGATTTGAAACTTCGAAAAGTCCATCTTTACCGTGGCAAACCACCCTTCTTTTCAGACCCATAAAGAACATCGTTAAAATTGCCAATTGCCAGCCACCCGGCAGGCAAAGACTGAGCAAGATTCGCAAAATAATCCCACTGTTGAGATCGAACACTATCACTGGGGCTTGCATACACTATGGATAAAACCCATGGATCTTAAATGGGAAACTGTACAAATGCTAAAATATGAAAGTGATTAAAAAAGAAACTGAAATGACTTATGTAAACGATCTAATCTTTGAGATCCATTCTTTGTTTCAAGAAGAGCTAAAATACATGGGGAATGAAGCTGATTAAGCCTCTTCAATTGTTGGACTGTCAGGGGGTTCCCCACACCCTGGCAGTTCCAAACTAATAGCTTCATAGATCCCCATGGGGCCACTTACGGCTGGCCTCCTCCACCGATAATTTGGATTGGACAGAACTCGGAACCAAATCATCCGAAGACTGATCCCTTGTAGGAGAATGAGAAACCGAAATTTCATTTATGTTAATAAATTCCCGAAAGAGGGCTCCCCGATATTGTTGCTTTCTGCACTTTCCTTCTGAGATTGATCCTGATCGGTTAATACCCACCTTAAACCGGCTAGCAGAAGATGAAGAAGATAGCTTGCGACTTTTTTTTCCACCTATAAATGAGTGGCCCAGCTAGGAAGAACACGTTTGGGCTCAACTTTAGTTGGTTTACCAGCCCGATTTGGAAGGCCTAAGCTTGTAGTTGATTCCATAGGTTGGGCCAAAACAATAGCCCTCGGACAAAATGGGCTTGGTTCAGCTGAGATCGGATCTGGCAATTTATTCAAGTCCTCTTCAGGAACTGGCCTAGAAAGCAAGGCCCAATTGGCCTCTTGAGGGACGGTACATTCCATGCTTGGAGTTGCCTTGCGTGCTCTAGACGTTTCTGACTCCGCTGACATCTGAAGACTGACCGCGGGTAGAAATTTTGATGGGACGGGGCGAACGCGGTTTGCAGGTCGTACACAAATTTTGGTTTTGCATCCCGGGGACGGTTTACCATGGCGGAAAAAAAGATCCCGACTAAACAGGCTTTTTCGGCGGTGATGAAGGAACTGGTGGACAAGAGCTTTCAGAAAAGTGTCGCTGATTAAGGACCTCCTTCGGGTTACTTGCGATGGAAAAAGATTGAATAAGTTTCCCTATATTCCCATCTGCACGTAACCACGGCCCGTAGAAGTCTGCCCGGTGCAATGGCGAAGCACTAATCTTCAATTTAGAGGAACAAGAAGATTCAGTATGTCCTAGCTTCCCACAAAAATAACAAAAGAGATGTAACTTTTCATAGAGAAATGGGGCCCAAAACGGAAGTTTCTTACTCGATTGGAGTTGGACACCTCTGTGAAGCGGTTGTGTAATATCAATTTCTACTCTGAGGCGAAGAACACAATCACCGCCCTCTAAACCCTTGTCACGAATCTTCACCTTTAAACATTTCCCAGCATCTTTAGCAATCCCTTCCCCTACAGCATAAGTGAGGAAGGGTGGTTCGAGGTCAAGGACTTGGATCCAAAATTCCGTCTTGGTGAAGAAAGAATCAGTAAAAGACAACCCCCTCATGCCATGGCTTGAGAACCATAAGATGACCTTCAAAGTGCCAAGGCCCATTTTGCAAAATTTTCAATCGATCCTCTTCATCCGGAATCAAGAGTTGAAAATAATTTGGCCCCACATGATAGACTTCCATAGAATCTTCAATATCCCACAGTTTCCCCAATGTTTGGGAAAAATCCAGTGAGCCTCCAGGGTGCGATCCGTCACTCTGCAGCATAGAAGCCAGTTGGGAATCCATGAGAGGGAAAAGAGGGATAAACAAAGAATAGAAAAGAAATCTGCAATTAGATCAGGGAAAGAGAGTCCACTCAAAAGGAAAGAGTAAAGGGGTCTGTTCAGAGATCAAGAAACTGATACACATGGAAAGGGGCCACGAAAAAGGAAAGAAAAAGTGGTAAAGAAAATCAGTGTTACTACTCCAAACTCAATCAAATCAATTGTTTGCATAGAAGCGTACTTCATGTCCATGCCAACAACACTATATCACATAGTACATACACCTTCATTTAAATGTTAGGTCTAATCAAATCAAGAATTGCCGCGATGGTCCAGCAACAAGTCTGTCGAAATGACAACAAAATTTTCAGCATCCATACAAAAGAAAAAAGCAGCAAAACCAAGAATTTGAAGAAAAATGTTCCTTGTTTTCTAAGGCTCAAGTATCAGCCAATATGCATGCGGAACATTTCTTACTCTAGTGCTCCTAACAAATGGGTGTGATTTAATCAACTCAAAAATGTAGAACAGAACAGGTAAGTTATTCAAAGAAAAATTGTATAATGCCATTAAAACTGATATTTTCAGTCAAGTGTCATCAACATGTAGACCGACTTCCTCTAAAGAATGATTGTACATAAATATTAATTGTGGCAAACTACGGTGGAACTTCACCATCATCGGTGCAGATAGTCACACGATGCTCCCTTCTTGCAGTATCCCCTCTCATAAAATTTACATACTCGTTCTTTGAGATTAGGCCTAGGATAACTTCCACCACCGACCGATGACTGACAGCTCCATGAGAACCTACCCCTTCCAAATCCTGAATTCCCAGCCTGATGAACCCGGTCTCTTGGAGCAGTAAATCTCTCACCACCATATTTTGGCCGATTCTCCTGCCCTGTATTGCGGGCTGAAGCACCCAGATTCATGTTTGCATTTCCAATTGCTGTCTCCTGACCAGTTCCTCTATTCATTTTCGTAATTCTTCGAACTGGTCCGCCACAGTCCAAGTCCATATCTTCTGACCCTGCTCCTCTAACAGTATTTATGTCAACCATTTTCTGACTCGTGGTGGATGGAGCCGGTGGCTGAATATTTGAACCAGATTCACTGTGATTCAGTGGAACATCAATGGGCTTTGTTTCTCCATCGACTTCAGCATTTGTAGAAGATTGCCCACCAGAACTCTTTACAGGATCAACATAACCCTGAGATAGCCCAAGTGGAACATCAATGGGCTTTGTTTCTCCATCAACTTCAGCACTTGTAGAAGATTGCCCACCAGAACTCTTTACAGGATCAACATAACCCTGAGATAGCCCAAGTGGAACATCAATGGGCTTTGTTTCTCCATCGACTTCAGCATTTGTAGAAGATTGCCCACCAGAACTCTTTACAGGATCAACATAACCCTGAGATACCCCAAGTGGAACATCAATGGGCTTTGTTTCTCCATCGACTTCAGCATTTGTAGAAGATTGCCCACCAGAACTCTTTACAGGATCAACATAACCCTGAGATAGCCCAAGTGGTTCATCTATCATTATAGGTTCAGAAGGTAACTGTATGTCCGCAGTGGAGCTCAAAGCATCACTTTTTCCCGTATCAGCCGTAGGGCTCAAACCCTCAATGGAACTAAAACAATCATTTCTAGAACCCTGAATCATGTCCCCACCATAGCTCATTGCTGAAGTAGGGGAAGCCAAGCCGCATTGGGACTCCATCGCATCTACTTCAGCCAACAGATCTGAGACTGATTCCTCTGCCAAAGTGCTAAACTCAATGGGTTCGGCAACAATTACCTGCCAGCTAGATGCAGGATGGGATGGAGAAGAATGAATAAGTTGCTCACTATTTGGTGTTGGAGAAGCAACAAGATCACTAATTGGTTCAGGCACCTTCAACGAAGACACAGATGCAAGACCAGAGTCCATTTCCTCATCGGAAGGTTTTGTTGGAGTAGGAGAATATCCTCCCCACTCATCAGCTATTTCAGGCAGTTGTACCCCATCACCCACCACTAGACTAGAAGCACTGCTCCAGCTAGGGCCTGAATCTTGAACAATAAAATTTGAAGACACGGATGGCTTGTTTTCAGCAGCCTCACCTTTCTCATCCCCATGGCTAGACTTTGGTGTGGGACTTGGCAAACCTGGAACATGTGAATCTTCTTGTGTGGGACTAGGTAGATCTGGAATATGTGAATCTTCTTGTGTGGGACCAGGCAGAGCTGGAATATGAGAATCTTTTTGTGTGGGACTTGGCAAACCTGGAATATGTGAATCTTCTTGTGTGGGACTAGGCAGATGTGGAATATGTGAATCTTCTTGTTTGGGACTAGGCAGATCTGGAAGATGTGAATCATCTTGTGTGGGACTAGGCAGATCTGGAAGATGTGGATGTGAATCTTCTTGTGTGGAATTAGGCAGATCTGGAAGACGTGAATCTTCTTGTGTGGGACTTGGTGGATATGAAAGATGTGAATCGTCTTGTGTGGGACTTGGCAGATCTGGAATATGTGAATCTTCTTTATGAACATTCGACATAACAGACTGCTTGTTTTCAGTAGCCTGACCTTCCAATTCCTCATTGTTGATCTTAGGTGTTGGACTAGGCAAATTTTGGATGTCAGCTTCACAATTCTGTTCTGGAGAATCAGTTGACTTGGCCACAGAAGCAAAACTGGATTTAGAATCCCAGTTGTTGGAAGAAAAATTAACAGGTAAGGGCTTCCAGCTTTGTCCAGAAGATTGGCCTGAATGGCCTTGACCATTAGATTGGTTCTCGTGACACTGTCCACCTGTAGGCTGAAAGGTTTCAGGTGAATTCAAATTTTCATGAATTGGACCAGAGTTCCATGTTTCGCCCTCTAGACCTCCTCTTTCTTGATGTGATGCAGTTCCATACTGATGCTCAGAAATTGTGGACAAGGGAAGCTGACTATGCACTTGGGACTGGTCAGAACAGGAACTATTACCCTTGAATGAGTCCCGACATAGAGAAGAACTTCCAGCCTGTAGATCCTTGGAATTAACAACAGGTGTAGTCCAGTTGGAAGAATGTGAACCCCAAACATTGCTACCTCCAAATTCATCTTTAGCATTGGAATGGGATTTTCCATCGTAACAGTTCCAGCTCCCCTCACTTTCTTTGCTATTTAACCCAGGTGTATTCATATTCCCGTTCCACCTGCCATCAGATATATGTGATCTACTGTCACAGGCACCTCCAACTTCCTGAGACTGTAAAGATATTTCATACGGTGATGGCAACGCTTTATGGAACTGCCCATTCAATACATCAGTCAAAAGTAAGGATTCACTTTCTTTATCATTGATGCCCCATATTCTCATATCAAGTGGAAAGTATCCTGTTGTACTCCACTTGCGCAGCTGCACCATACAAAATGGTCCTTGAATCTTTCCATTTGGGTCCCGGTAGTGCCACAATTTGTCTGTTTCATAATCATTGACAGATGGTGCCATCTCGATAGAGAGAGTTGCACTTGAAGTTTCTGATGCAACCCCAGAGAATGATCCGGACCTCACCACAGCTTGATTATTCCACTTACCAATCGCTGAACCAGCAGAATCAACATGATTTCCAGGTTTCTCCAAACCATTTGATCCACATGCATCTTTTCTCTCATTACAGGTAGGATCTTCTTTATTTGGGTACCATGTAGTACATGTGTTTCTGTTACGCTCACAGGTGATTAATTTTTTCAATGCCCTGCCACCTTTATCACTGGAAGTATCACCTACTTTTCGGGGAGAAATTGACTCCCTTCTATTCCTACTGAATCCAGAATATTTTGGACTCACATATTTATCTGCACATACATCAGCAGAAGTAACCAATAAGTAACAATAATAAATAAATAAAAAGGAACAAAACCAAACAAATAGTAGGAAAAGATAAAAGTTCCATATCCGTAAGGCAATGTGATGGACCTTGTTTCTTATCACTAAATTCTCCACCGTCTTCAGATTCATAATTTGGATCCATATTTGGATCAGCATGTACTTCTGGAATTTCATGTAGCCTGCGCTGACGTTCCTCAGATGTCTTCAGAAGCTGTAATTTCTCTACACACTCTCTAAGCGTGGTATTTGTCAAGGAAAACCAAATAAATACACCAAATTCCCGACGTAACATATATGTAGTGAATGGAGCAGTAAGTATTAGGAATCACCCGCAACATTGTCATTACTGTGAAATCTATAGTTCCTCAATGCACTGTTGATTGTGATAATAAACAGGAAAATTAATGAAAACTTGGGATGTTAAGTTGGAATCACCATTGCGCGAACGAAACCCAAGCTTTCTTTTATTTACCTCCAACTACTAGGCATGTATATAAAGCATTAACGTAACCTCTTATGAAATGGTTGTATTATAGTAGAGAACGTTGACAGTCAAGAAAAAAGAGAAACAATATGCATAGACCATTGCCCGTTTTGAGTATTGATGAATGAGCTGCAAGGCAACATGATACAATAAACTATAGTTGCAATACTAAGAAGCTAAAGTAGCACCAATCAAGGAGAAGATGAGCAAATGGGAGAAGGTAGTTAGGTTTGTGAGAACTTATAATTCCATGCTTCACTAATTCCTATAATTCCCCCAAATCACACCATAGCAGGGCAGTCAACTCATCTTAATTAGCATCACGAGATATTCCATGTAGACAAAAGTTTTTAAAGGAAGGTACATCTGATCCAACCCCATAAGAGTAGGAATACCACTGAATGATATTCCATAGATTCACAAGAGATTTTGGAGAGAAATACACGAACCCTAACTTGCACAATTCATTAGCTTAAAAATAATGGAGACTGGTACTTCACTGTAGCATTTATGATGCTACATTCATTTTCTGAACTGCAAATTACATCAGTAGACAGTAAGGTTAATTAGCTAATCTGAGAACCCGGTAGTAAATAAGTTATGTCACAGTTAATCAACTGAACCTACCAACCCAAGTTTTAACTTGATTAAAATTTATTAGTTAATAATTTATTTATTTTTTATCTTTCAAATTATATTAGTTTACCATTTTTTAACTAGTTATTTGATATTTTGAAATAGAGAAAAAAAGTCTTGACAGGTTGATCAGGATGTGTCAATTTTGGACCAGGTTTTCATTAATCAACCCAAAACATGTCCGGTTCAGGTTGGACACTTTTGAACCCAATCACCCAACTTGTTGCCATCCCTAAACAAGTAGCTCAAATTGAATTACAAAGGTTACTCTCAGAAATTGAATGAACCTATTGTACAATCTTGAATTAATAATAGTCAGACTCATGGAAAGTTTTGCCTTGTACTCTGTCTAGAATACATTGGACGGTAACTCAACATATCTTTTCCGTAACCTACTTGGCCTTCTCTCTTTTGAACTTGCAATATATACAGCTCAAAATATGTAACTAACTATCTTCGCAATCATTTGACTCCATTGCACATGAAGAATCTAGTCTTCACTCATCTAGTTATGAATGCTAAGTTCACTACACTAGAGTGGCACACCCCCATCAAAACATACTCCAGCTGTGCTTAATCTATGAAAGAGGAAATGAAAACTTACAAGTTTACCGTAACTAAATCAGCCTAGTTAGACATTTGTCCTAAATGACAAACATATATCACGTGAAATCATCTATTATACAGCACAACAGCTCGGTAGGAAAGCATGAAAAACTTATATAAGCAAGTTTTCACTCTCTCTCTCTCTCCTAGGGTTGCTTCAGCTGGGCTTTTAAAATCAATAATACATCTGAAATAAACATTACTCGATTTTATTAACAAGCAACCAGTCAAAAATACAATCAAATAGTCAAAAGGATATTCCTTTTTATGCCCCTTTTCACTTGCTCTATCACGAAGATGATTAAGGCGGAATATCTCTGTTTCCAGCCACTGCATAAAAATATGGCATCATGAACAGCAGCAGGGTAGGTTCAGGAACCAATCTCACAGTTTATAAGTTAGTTGAAAGTTGAAACACTAAGCATTACAATATGAAGTGAAGAAAAATTAAAGCAAATTGGAAAGAAATAAAAATTGGTCTCAACTTCGACATCAGCATGCATAATATGCCATATTTTATGCATTACAATTGAAAGCTAAGAAACTTACATCATTGAGTTTCACTGCCCGGAGTGCCATTGCTTTCTCCTGTACGTCACCCTGCATGCAGGCATGAAATCTTCTTAGCAAAAAGTGGTACATACATATATATATATATATATATATATATATGTTGTAGAAGCAACACTAACATGCACTTACCACAGTCAACCGTTTAACGAGTCCACATTTTATACTCTGACGTAAACGTCTGCATTCATCCTGGTAATATTATAGTACATCAAAATAAAGAAAATGATAAATAAATAAATATTATCCTGTAAAATGGTGCAGACTTTATATTTTCAACAATGCTCCAGATTACCACACCTGATCAGACAGTCTGGAATACCCAAAAATTTGTGTATGAAATTAGAGGGCTCAGAATAAAGAAAATCTTATCCCCAAAATGGAAGGATATTAATTGTTCTTAAAATGAAACTTTTTTTTAACATATAAAAATGAAGCTTTACAATACCAATGCAATATTGTACAATCTGTGTCATTCTTGTGTTTCTTAGTTTTAAAATAAAACATTTTTCTTCTTTCCTTTTCTTTTTTCACTCTTTTTTTCGGTGACATATTGGTTTTCCAACAATACATCCATGTCAGCCCTAAGTTTCAGAAAAAGCTAGATGACATTCCCTTCCGTTGGAAAATACGTGATATTCATGGTCAAAAGGAACAGCAAAAATTATTTCCGTTGTATGGACACTGGGCTTAGCTACCTACAATTGACAAAATACTGGAAAGGGACTGTCGGCAAAAAAATAAGGAACAAAGGATGAAAAGAAGTGCCTCTAGAATGTTGTATGACAAATTGACAATAAAACACATCATATTGAACCTAACTACCTAAGACCTTTGCCGGTGCCTCAAACCAACTCGGGTCCCCCATTGGGGTTAATTGTCCACATATTATCAAGAAAAACATAAAAATAAAAATTAAAAAGCTAGAAATTTATATCATTTTACTGTTTGAAGTCAAACAAATATGAAACTAGGAAATAGGAATGTAGTTTGTTTAATCACCTCAGAGAACTCTTGATTTGAAATTGCATCAATTAATACAGCCTCTTTCTTGTCTAAGTTTAATATATCGAGCATGACATCCACTGCTCTTTCGCCAAGTTTATATGGTACAGCCACCTTACTTGTACCTGATGCAAAATATCAACCCTTTCACAATGTATCATTTCTCGTTCTTTCTTTTTTTTCCTCCTCTTATCCAACTAGAAAATTATGTCTGATTAGAAGTGAACAAAATTGTTTAAATAATTGCTGCATATAAAAAGTTATGCGCATATACCTACAACTTGTACAAGCCTATACATATCTTGCTTCTGATCGGTGCTGGAAATTCTTATTCGCACAATTGACCCAATAACCTTATCATGGAATTTTGCATTATCTTCTATTAGACTCTCCATTAAATTACGCCGCAAGTAAATCAAGTTGATGTTGTGAACATCAATTGCAGCATATTCATCCGGACTGGGCTGTGGTACTCTTTCTTCACCCTTTTTACGAGTCTTACGTCTCTTCTCATTGCCCATCATCAGTAGGTTGTCACTGTTGTCGTCAGCCTCTGCTGGGCTCACAATGGCATCAACAATGCTGTACTGAATAAAGGCATTTTTCTGGGGATCCTCCTTTATAAGAAAGTGAAATTCAAGAAGCTTTAACATTTCAAAATGACCCACGCGTGGTTTCCCAAACAGATTTTTAAGCCTTAAATCACAAATGATTTGACTTTTCCGGTGAGGATCACGAAGATTGTTTCTCTTTATATAGTCCAGCAAAAGAGCCTGGACATCAAACTGAGAAAGAACAGATGTATCACCATTCTTCATGTGGGCAACAAATTCCAAGAGTTCTTTAGATGCCCAATCCGTGCATCCAACTGAAGTTGTGCCTTTATCTGTACTTGATTTATAAATGCTCAAAGAGTCCTTGTTGAGAAACTCCGGGTGGTCCTTGGTCTTTCTTCTTTTAGAACTATTTGCCTCCAGATGTCCAGAGGAGCTGTCTGAAATAGAACCTTTGCCATCACTAGCACCATAATGTAAATCCAATGATTGCCCCTGGCAACCCATAGTACCAACTCCTTTCCAGGGATTCTTAGCTTGGGTGAGCTCATTTAAATTTAAAGATAGCTTTCCTTTCAAGTAAATCCAGTATACCTTGAAAAGATACTCCCAGCTACTTTTGTCGTCAAAATCTACTTGAGCCTGCACAAGTTACACAGAAAGGCATGAAGATGGAAATAGGATAGCCAAAGAACTACAAACTGAAGTATATGTTTGAGACATACTTTGATTTTTATTATAATAATAATTAATTTCATTTTGATAAGTAGAGCCATTCTTTAATTTGAGTGAGATACTACTGACTCCAACATCAATCCCTACTCAGTAGGCCATTAACTACAACCCTACTTGTTTCAATTTTCTTTTCTTTTTCACCCTGCTGACGTCAACACCAGCATTTACTTTTGTAGAACTGTTGCATTTCTTATCTTCATCAGTTCCTGTTGTCCTGATATTGCAATCTGTTATCTAGTTTCAGATACGAGCATTGCCAGCACAGGACGAATAGGCTCACAAACTGTGCCCAAGTGTGATGGCAGCCAACTTAAGAAACTATTGTGCCCCAATACCTTAATAAAATAAAATAAAAGCAAGAACACGATAAGCGAATTGGCAATCAAGGAGAAGTGCAATGATGTCTAAACAAAAGGCGCACAAAAGGATCTAGCTAGAGATAGCAGTTTCACCCGCCCCATCCCTAATGTAGCGGGTAGGGACACACTTTATAGGGCTAGTGCGGGTATGGTAAAAAAACCTTAAACCTGACTTGGGTTTTGGGCGGGGATGGTTCTCCCTCCCCCACCCCAGATACAACAAAAACCATACATATATATATGTGGTATCTCTTATATTCACAATATTGCTACTAGTATATATATCTCATATTCTCTCGAACGAAACCCTACCACCATCCTCCCCGCAACCCCAACCCCCCCCCCCCCCCCCCCAAGCGCGAAACAGCCACTCCTCACCTCACCCTTCTGTCCTTTCTTCTCCAAGCCTCTCTTACGATTCCACCAATAGCTGACTCCCACAAGCCTCCCTCTCACAGTCACATCTCGTTCATCGATGGTGAAGAAGACGACGAGGAGGAACATCCACCGCCACCGGAAGAGGTGACAGCATGATCTATTTCGAACATAACCACTGGTACTTCCACCTCTCCTTCATAGTAGTATATGTGCGTATGAATATATTTATTTACGATTTGATGTTTAATGGCTTGTTTGGAGTTTGTTGTGAAAATAGGTTTGACAAGGAGACTGTGAAAATCGGGGCGGGGATGGGATGGCTAAACCATGATCCATGGACGGGATGGGGTTGGGATTTGAAATTAGTCCAGTGTTATGGGCAGGGTTCATTGATCAAGGCTTGACAGAAGAACTTTATAAGTTTCCAAAAATTGAAGATAGAGATCAAGAATATTATTTCTTTTTCCGCTTTTGTGTTAAGCTTATCAATTTTATGGGATGGGGTTTTTTCTTCACAGGGCGACGTAGGGTTTGGGCTAACCGTTCCAAATCCACCCCATTGCCATGCCTAGATCTAGTAAAATCCTTCTTCCTTGATTACAACAGAAATCCAGAAAGGAGCACCCAATATCTGCTGCCCAAATGTAGAAAAGAAGAGAGACAATAGAAGGAATGATCAATAACCAGTAGGAAATGTTAACTGCTATACTTGGAAACCGCAATTATATAAATGAAATAGAAGTAAAGATATTAACTAAGACAACCGCAATTACATAATGAAATAGAAGGTAAGATTTTAACTAAAACAAACAGAGTATATCAATTGAAAAAGAAATAACTGATCCATGATGAGCATGTTTTAACTTTTAAGACGAATTCAGCTGAATAACATGATGGCGTAAGATAAGAAGCAATCCAAAAGGTAAAGTGAATGGACAATAAACCAACTCCTTTTTAAGACGTACCCCTAGATTACACACACACATTCTCTCTCTCTAGATGGATTGCGCGAATCCACATTGGCCAATGACTATTGGACCTGCACATATTATATGTACAAACGTTTACATAATGAGTCACTCCTTAATAGAGCTCTTATCCCTGCGGGTCACCCAAGTACAGTCTATTCCTAACACAGTCACCCAAATGAAAGTGGTGTATGTTGCCCATGGGTCACCCAATTAGCAGTATGCGAGTCACCCAAAGATATAAGGTTCATTCCCCGACGATCCCCCAACTTCGCCACCAAGGTCTTCAAACAATCTTTTCCATAGAATCACTAGAAGAAGTGTAAAGACCTCTAAACGGAGTCATCCAAATAATAGTGGTTTTCCCACAAAGCTACATGAAAATGTACGAGGTCTTTCTATTTGGAATCACCTAAATAATAGAACATGGTGTGAATGTATGGAGTCATCCAAGTAATAGTATTCAAGTAGTCTTTTCCCCGACAGAGGCACTGATATTACATGGAACACGAAATCTTCCATTATGGTCACACGTAATGGTATCCCACACAAAGTCACCCTTGGCCACGAGTTAGGAGAGATTTTCCCAAATGGATTCAACCAATATTAGGAGTATAATCTGTACATAGTCTCCCGACAAAGTGTGTACAAGATCGTCCCCCTTGGAATCACACAGATGAGCATCCAAATGATCTTAATACCAGTCACTAGACCCACTGTCATAAGGTCCTCGTCAGGAATACACCCATAAAAGAAACAAAATAAATAAAAATCAGGTTTGGGTCACCCCACAGTTTGCAATGACGTGCAAATAGAGAGAGAGAGAGAGAGAGAGAGAGAGAGAAAAAAAAAAAAAAAAAAAAAACCTATTCCATCTTGATTATTACGAGCTTAATCTTATCAAAGGAAAATATAGTTTGAGGAAGCAATAACATGATAAGCTCGACCATATGCCAAATAGATAAGATTGTACATACCGATTCCTTGTTTCCTTCTTGATTTTCAATCAGCATAACAGTTCTCATGCATGTTGTGCAAAATCCTTTGTTCCCCCTTACACATAGGTAATCAGCATCTTTAGTGCATCCCTTGCACAATGAATATGTGCAAGTGTAGCACATATAGTGGGCAGCCTTCTGACAGCTACTGCAGATATGCCAACCTGAAATTTATTACAGAACCAATAAATTAGTTAATCATGCAATCTTAAGATTAGCACTAATTTTAATAATGGAGATTCAAAAAATAAATAAATAAATAAAGGTAATAAAATAGACGTCAGAAAAGATAGTCGGCACCAGAAGGAACAAAGTTCAGTTTCAGTAAAAGCCTAAATGGTCAGATATGCAATTAACAAATTGCCATACACACAATTCAACAATACAAGGAATTATGATCTCAGCACAAAGAAGGATAACGTAACCAGTAATATAGACATTCAAGTCTACCAAGGAAAAATTTAAACAGATACGCACAAAAAAGTTCCAACATCCTGAACTTAAATTTTAACCCGATTGGCAACAACCCATTGCATAACACCCAAAGAGCCTCTAGATCTTTAAAGGATGATGGATAATCAAATGCTAGATAATCTCAAAGCGACATAAACAATGAAAATAGTATAGTGTTTTATAGAAGTCCGAAACACTATTATCCAGAAAACAAAAAAGAAAAAGAAAATTAAAATTATACAGAATTTTGCAAGATAATTAATGATGATGATAGTAATAATAATAATAATAATAATTCCATACTTCAACCTCTCCAAAACTTAATCTGACTTCATTATTGACTAAAAAATCCATTCATCTTAGCATTTTATTGTCTTTTTTATAAGATTTTGGTATGATTTACTTTGAATTGGTATCATAAAGCAAAGGACTGGAACCAACTGCCACATCTGGGTTCCAAATTAACCCAAATAAGTAACCCACTTGACATTTCAATCAGGGATAAAAGCTAAGTGAAAAGCTAGAATAAATCCCTTTTGTAGAAATGCTAAACATTGTACAGAGATTCAAATTTTGAATTATTTATTTTATGGGTCACTTCATTTTCCCAGAGGAGAACATTAGTAACAACCATCACCCTGCGAAGTGTAACTGTTGCCCAAAAAGAATAAAACGTCACTTGTCTACAATTTTAGGGCACTACAACAACTAAAACAAAAGACATATTACTTATTTGGGGTACCTCTTGCTCATCCATTCAAACTTCATAACTAGCTTTAAAAATTGTATTAATTCATTTTTTTAACTAAATGAACTTGAAAGCACAAAATGAAAAGGATGAATATTAATCACTGTATCCCATCTATGAAGGGTGCCAAGAGGGGAAGATTGAAGATAAACCAAAAAATTGGTATTATTTTGTCTAAAGTGACTGCTTATAGACTCGAATTTGTGTCCTCAAGAAGAACATGCTAAATGATTGGAGGTGACAAATAACACACCCGTTGCTCAATAGGCTTGAATCTGGACTTTTAAACTTGATTTGACCAGTGATATTTTACATACCGAGTAATGCAATCAGCTTATGAAAGAAAAATAAAATCAGTAAGAAGGGAAAACAAAGAGCAACTTCAAGCTTAAAAAAAATAGCTCAAACACCCACAACTCAATCTCAAAGAAAGGGAGAGGTAAAAGCTGCTGAAGCAGGATGAATATATTGATAAATCGTCAAAATTTGGTGATTGCTACTTGAAAAACCCCTTTTATAAGACACAAGGGATGCCCTAGCAAGATTTAATCCTAGCCCTTCATGTAAACATAATCTAAGAGATAGAATTTTGTTCAGCATAATTTTTCCATTATTTTTTTTTTTTTTTTTTTTTTTTTTTTTTTTTGATAAGTGAAATTTTGTCCAGCATAATTAAAAAGCTAAAATGACAAGACAGCCCTTAAATGGTCACATGACTCACTTAAAAGGCACGTGAAAAATAAAATAAAATCGCGATGACAATAACGCCATGTTTGGTGTGAGTGAATAGAATCAAATGAAGCGGAATGGAATGCTTTTGTTTCCATTCTTTAGTTCGGTAACTAATTTAAAGTTGGAATGATGATTCTTGACCATTCTCCGATAATGATGATTCCCACTAATTCATTCCACTTTCCAACAAAAGGAATGGCTATTCCATTCCCACTTTAAAAAAAAAAAAAAAAACATTTGATGAAATTGACAGTCGTCATCAAAACGGTGGCTCCACCGAAGCACCATGACTAGTTTTCAGTCTCACGGCAGCGAAATTTCACCTTCTCAAATTGAAGCGTCTCAGGCTTCCCGCGGATATATAACATTTTAATTCTTAGGGGAAACGTAACTTTCCACAACGGTAATTTTCAGAAGGCATCAGCCGTTAAGGTGTCTGTTGTCAAGGGTTGTTTGTACATTAAGAACTCAGAAAAAGGACTCGTGTTCTCTTCTTTCTGCAAAAACGTTATTCTATTTTCAATGGCCTTCTTTATTTAGTTTTTTTTAACTGGATAAAAGTTGATGTTAATACGCTGAAGTCACCAGAGATTGGGATACTGCCACCTCTTTATTTGAAACGATTCCCACGCGCTCTCTCTAATTTACACCAACCAATGGCTCCTTTTTTCATCTTCTCTCTCGCTGACATAAAGGTAGATCAGGTTCTTTTCTCTTTCTTTTCTTCTCAAGTACCAGTCTTGAACCCTTGACCTTGGGGTTGGTTCTTTTCTCTTTCATTTGCTATTATGAGCACATTGTTACCCCACGCATACATATACATATATATATATATATAAACATGCTAACTTACCAAAAAAATATTTAAACATGCTAATTTGAGTGTTACATATATATATATACACACGTATATGTACTGAAAATGAGTGGCCTAGGAAATTTTGAAGAATCCTATGTATGTATGTGCATATTGGTTGAAAAACTCACTTTTAGTTTAATTGTAATTGTCACTATTTTTAAATTTTCTGACCACGGAAACTTTTCATAGTATGAAATTATGGACAATACTAGGTCCTCACTAGTTTATATATAAGTGCATTTCTTGAAAGTCTTCCTTACGTTTGTAGAACTTTTTCAAAAACTTCCCTACAAGTGCAGTTGGACCGTCCACCCATTCCAAAATGTTTCTTAATTGTTTCAACTTAATTTTATTGAAAGATTTGCATCAGCTTCCTAAACGAGTTTCTAGAGGAATAGAATTCACCCTCAACTAAGTGTCAACAATCCAGGAATGGATATGTACAACTTCATAGATGGAAAGATCAAAATTCGAAACTCTATTATTGAATGAACTCTAGAAGATAAGATGGCAATGTTTGAGTTCTTACAAGGTACAACTTCCACCATATATATCATGCAAGATAAATAGAGCAAAATCAAACCAAATGCCAACATATACCATAAATGAACTTTTAAGAATCTACATAAAGCACATGCCACAAATGCCAACCAATACATAAATGAAGTTTTAAGGATCTACATATAAAGCACATACCGCAATTCCAGCGAGCCTTGGATCGAAAGAATGCCTCATCCCGCTTAATACAAGAAGGATGGTATGCCTTGGGACAGCCCCTAACAAGCAATAACCAAGAATGAATAATCAAGTACAGCACTGACCTTAGTGAATGTCAGGTTTTCATTTCGAAAGTACCTTCGTTTGAGCAAAATCGCAGCAAATTTTGTTATCAAAAGCAAAAAAGGGCTTCCAAGATGCTACGAAATCGAAATCTAAATTAATGAACACGGACTAAACCCTAACAAATGGACTCACCGGCGATCGCAGAGCACCAGACTTCCACCATCGAAACATATAAAACAGACATCCTCTTCTTCGTTGTTGTTCTTCTTCGGAGGGGGCGATTTCACCTGGCCCTTGGGCGGCCTACCTCGCTTCCTCTTCAAAACTCCCTCGTCTTTCACTTCCGCTTCCGCTTCCGCTTCCGCGTTCGTCTTCGTCTCCGCGCCGGCCTTCGGACGAGCTCCTCCGCCACCGACCACAGAATCCGTCTCCACAATCGCAGGAGCTCCAACGAGCTGCGAATCGTCAAATTCGTGAATCGGCTCACATCCGTCCATGTTCCGGAGCTCTAAAGTCTGCACAGTTTCTTCGAGACTTTGGTTGTGGGCTTCCATGTGAGGCCTGTAGAGACCTGAAGCCGAATCTTCTTCTTCCATGGAGAATCGAATCTTCTGAGACCATTATCAGAACCCTAGATTCCTCAATTCGGTTAAGGTTCTGAGCTCTGGTCGATGGCACATCAAGAAATACGAAGGAGAAAGTCAAACCGACGTCGTTTTGGTTGGGGTAGGAAGTTCACAACAAGAAGAAAGCACAGATACACACATACATACACTATATGTGTGTGTGTGTGTATATATGTATCTGAATAGAGAGAGAAAGAGATAGAATAGGTGCCGTTGTGCAATTGGGTAGGTGCAGATGGTAGAATTGTTTGGGTTGGGGGAAAGAGTCTTACGAGAGAGAGAGAGTCAAACGCGGCTGATGGTGTTGTAAGTTCTTGCTTGGCAACACGTGATTTGAGTTTTATTTAGCTGTGGGAAGTAACAGTGGTGCGGTCGGTCGGTCAGTCAGTCGGTCAGAAGTATCAACAACAAAACAAGGGTCCGGGTTTCGCCTCATGCCATGTCCTCATTCGACCTTTTGTCTGCTAGTGTCAAGGGTCTGATGATGACCAAATGAAATCCAAGCGCTAGATTAACTGCACCTCTGTCTCCTTTTTCCCTTCTTTTACCGTAAAGTCCGTTCCAAAAAATTTTGCTTTTTTTTCCTCCCATTAAAACTCTAATACTATAAAAATATATATATATATTATATTTTATACCATTTATTCTAATCCTAATTAAGATTCTATTTTTATTATTATTTCTTTTTTACTTTTTAAAAAATATATAAAATAAATAAACAGACCAATTAATTAATGAGCACATGGGAAAATGAATACAACAACTCACTTATTTCAAAATACAATCTGCTATCAATAGAGCCTAACAAATGGAGTTATGGAGTAAAATAAATAAATACTACTTCAAGCAAAAGGTGTAATCAAAGGTAGGAGGCAACATTTGCACTCCACGTGTTTGCTTTTATATTAAAATAATACAGTTATCTCTAAACTATAGGTTGAAAATGACAATTTTCTAATTTTGAACTGTGAGAATGAAAAACAGTTAACGCATTTATGGAAAACACATTCATGAAGAAGTTGGTTCGCCAGGTAGCATTAAATATGTGGATTACCCAATTAAAAGAATGATTACCTCCTAGGATTTATTAAAATTATATTAAGAGGTATTTTTGTTATTATAATACTATTTTAATGGCATGTAATTTTTAATATTTTTAAGTAAATTGCCCAATTTAAAAGTTATGGTTGTTAGGACATAAACTAACAAAGTCTGAACCATGTGGCATTATTAATGTCAGAAATAAAGGGGAAAAAAATGTCAACTACGATATTGTTTGAATTTTAAATATTAAGATTTTTAATTGGTAATTACAAATAATTCTTTTGACTGGTGCATACAATTTTACTTAATTTTTTATTCCATTTTAACTGGTGCATACATGTATATATATAAAAATTTTAAATCAGTGGGGTAATATATATTTTTTATTTTTTATATACAATTTTACTTAATTTTTTATTCCATTTTATATATTTTTTATATTTGCTTTTTGTATGTGTGGAATTTATTTAACATTGTCTCTTCAAATGTTATATATATCTATATCTATATTTATATCTATACTATTATTAAAAGTATAAGGGGTGTCAAAAATTTCAAATCAGCATTAAAAATAAATAAATAATAAAATAAATTACCAATTAAAATAAATCATATTATACTCTTAAAAATTACCAATTAAAATAAAATAGGTAATTGTTTAATAAAATAATTTATCAAATAATAAAACAAGTTAACAATTAAAATAAAATAGATAATTGTTTAATTGAAAACTAATTTTTACCAACTTTTAAAAGTAGAAGGTGTTTTAAGGTGTTTCACATCATTGACTTATAAATAAATAAATTAACAATTAAAATAAATCCTATTATACTTTTAAAAGTTACCAGTTAAAATAATGCCTAAAATAATAAATTATCAATTAAAAGTTACCAATTAAAATAAATCCTATTATACTCTTAAAAGTTATCAATTCAAATAAAATAGGTAATTTTTTAATAAAATAATTTACCAAATAAAAAAACAATTATCAACTTTTAAAAGTACAGGGTGTTTCAAATCATTGACTCGTGAATAAATCAATAAATAAAATTAACTAAAATACCAATTATTAATTTAGTTGGGTTTTTCTTTTTTAATAACATTATATGTACAAATTGTTTCAAAAAATAAATATAGATTAAATAGAATTAGAAAATAATACATAAAAGTTAACAATTAAAAGTTACCGGTTAAAATAAATCATATTATACTCTTAAAAGTTACCAATAAAAATAAATCTTATTATACTCTTAAAATTTACTTTTTAAAATAAATCCTATTATATTCGGAATTTTCAAGGCTAAAACAAGTTACCAATTAAAATAAAATAAATCCTATTATACTCTTAAAAGTTATCAATTAAAATAAATCCTAAAACAATAAATTACCAATTAAAAGTTACCAATTAAAATAAAATAGGTAATTTTTAATAAAAAAATAAAAACCAATTATGAAATTATTTTATTTTTATGGTGGGTTTTATGTTTGGTTGGTGACAACAATGGTTAATATTGTAAATTTAGTTTGCATTGTGATTTATTTTTTATTATTTTAAAACTATCATGAAAGTTTTTATTTAATTTTTATTTCATATTTTACCTCCACTATATCTGCTCATTTTTTCTTTATAATAGGTGTTCAAATTTTTCTCTATAGGGCGGGCAATCATGCTTCATCTCTAAAGTTTATTAGGATTATGTTTTTCTTCTTTAGTTTTTATTTTAATTTTCTCATAAGGATCATGAAAGTATTTTATTTTTTATTATTGGTTTAATGTTTGATCGGTGACAACAATGGCTAATCTTGTAAATTTAGTTTGCATTGTGATTTTTTTTTTTTTTTTTTAGAAGTGTCATGAATGTATTATATTTTTACGTAACTTTAATTTTTTAATTCTTTATTTATCTTATTTTCAATTCATTTTATCTGTTTTGCTTCTAGAGTTGCTAATGTTTTACTTCTACAGTTTGCCGCTGAAGAAGAATCAAGAGAAAGAATAATAAAAAATTATAAGTAAAAAGTTATGATTTTTAATTAGGTTTCTGTTAGACTGTTACCTTTTCTATTCCATGCAAAGTTATGTCACATTTTATCTGTTATTAAATTTTGCAATTCATTTTCTCTGTTTCTATTTTTTTTTTCTTATTGTTTCAATAATTGATTAGAAACTTTACAACAAATTAAAAAAAATTTGTAAATTGAATATTTTCTTTAAATTTTTAATTTTTGTGATCTCTTTCTAATATCGTTTCTCTAATTGATTAGGAACAAGATAAATTTCGTTTATGTTTTGCAAGTACAATTAATTTTGTCCAACCATATAAAACTATTTAATTTATGCTTGATTATGGTTTAGTTTAGTTTTGGATCATAATTAATTTTTATTTTTTATTATTGTTTAGTTTAGTTTTCAATCACAACTAATTTTTTACATATAAAAGCTACATATTTAAAATAAGTTGATAATTAGTTATTTATAAAAGAATTTTTTATTATAAATTAATTTTTAGTTTTTAATCACGCACATCACATGTGTCTTTTACTAATATATATATATATATCTATACTATTATTAAATGTGCAAAGTGTTTCGGAATTTAAGTATTTATTTATTAATATAAAAAAATATTTATTAATTACTTCATTAGTTTAGTATTTATTTATTAATATAAAAAAATATTTATTAATTGATATAAAAAGTGATTTTATAAAAAGAACACAGATTACCTAATAAAATTTTACTTACCTGTTTTATTTTCTATAAAACTCCATCACATGTAACCTATATATATATATATTAGGCCAAGCTTGTGGTGTGCATATTTTTTCCTTTCTCTTTATAATTGGTCTTGTAAGTTTTTTCTTTACTTTTTCTTTTTACCAGCATTATTATTTTTTTCTCTTTCTAATTGATATTTATGTTTAGAAGTAGAAGGGCAGATCCAGCCTCTGTAAATGGGGCGGGCTAATTTTGAACTGGCTAACTTTGAACTAGGTTACCATTATTATTTTTTATTTTTTTTTCTTTGGGCTGGGCTTAAAGTAGTATGGTAAAAATAAAAAAAAATTTCTTTTTTTTAAGGTGGGCTGAAGCCCAGCTTTACCCGCCCTTGGATCCGCCCTTGGAAGTAGTTGATTTGTTTTATTTTTATTTTCTCTTTCTAATTGATGTTTATAAGTGGTTGATTTTTTTTCTTCATTTTTTTAGTTTATTTTTTTTGGTTCATTCTTAATTTATTATTATTTTGAGTCATTATTGCTTTTTTTTTCTTTTTCAAAAGTATTATTCTTCTATTTTCTTTAGTTTTTATTTTTATTTTACTCTTTGTAATTATACTTTTGATGGTTCAAAATTTGTTATTCTTAATTTGTTGTATTGAGAAGGTTGGATTGTTAATTTTTTTCTTTACTTTTTCTTTTTAGAAGCATTATTATTATTTTTTTTCTTTTGTTTTATTTTTATTTTTCTGTTTCTAATTGATGTTTAGAAGTAGATGAATTGTTTTATTTTATTTTTCTCTTTCTAATTATTTTTTTCTTTTTTCTTTTTAAGAAGTATCACAATTCTTTTTTCTTTAGTTTTTATTTTTATTTTACTATTTATAATTATACTTTGGATGGTTCAAATTTTGTTATTCTTAATTTGTTGTATTGAGAATGTTGAATTGTTATTTTTTTTCTTTACTTTTTTATTTTTAGAAGCATTATTATTATTTTTTCTTTTGTTTTATTTTTATTTTTCACTTTCTAATTGATGTTTAGAAGTAGATGAATTGTTTTAATTTATTTTTCTCTCTAATTGATGTTTAGAAGTGGTTGATTTGGTAAGTTTACTTTGAATTGTGATTTTTTTTCTTTTAGTTTTTTATTTTTTCTTTTTGGTTCATTCATAATTTATTATTATTTTGAGTCATTATTGTTATTTTTTTTCTTTACTTTTTATTTTTCAAAAGTATCATTATTCTTTTTTTTACATTTAATTACTTTATACATTAAGAACACTAATTAATTACTTTACACATTAAGAACACCTATTAATTTTTTTGGTTTGGTAAGTATCTCACTCATATTTTACAAATTGTGTACAAGGGGGAACTAACGGTCTATCAATATAATGATAACTAATTATTATTATTTTATTTTTTAATACAAATTTCTATAATGGAAATAAAATAATTTTTATAAAATTTAACAAAAATTAGCAATTTTATTTTCTATAAAACTCCATCACATTATCTATTTATTATAAGTTTTAT